TGTCCACAATCGTCTGTAACACAGGGAGGCCTACAGCGGACGCAGTGATTAGCAGCAGTAACTGGTTTGTATCTGTTTCAGGGCTAATTCTTCTTGCGTAGTTCGGACGCTGTGAAGATGTTTTAAGACATTTATCAAATCTCAATATACAATGCACTTATATATACTTTTTATTCTCGGCAACGCGAGGCACGCTTTTACAGACATCATCATGTTTTGATAAAGTGTGAACAAAAATGTAAAATGAATACAACATTCTTGTCATAACAGTGAATGTGTGCATGGGTGTGTATGTAACTGTGCATAGGTGTAGCTTGTGTTTGTAATTGTGCCTTAAGTGTGTCCATGTATCGAAACTTGCGTTACTGTTATGAACACTGTGAACGGTTGAGCACCACAGATATATTTACTACCTTTTTGCCTAGTAGCACCCATGATTTCAGCTTTGGTGACAGTTGCTCGGCTCTTAGCAGTGTTCGTAGATAACTCATCGCTTTTCAATGATCCGTGCAATTGTTCGAATTTATGCAAACTAGATAGTCACTGTCTCATTGCCTATGCGACAACAGCGAAGCGTGAATATCAGAAATTCAAACCGAAGTCGCTTACCGAGAATCAGTTCGAGTGCTTGATATTGGTATGCAGTCTGAAGTCCTCCAAAGACGCCGATATCCGGACCACAATACTTGGGATGTTGGAACGCGACCCGGATATCACACTACAAAGTATCATCGCTGAAACAATTAGATGGCACCTACTGGCGTTACTTCTATGATGCGGTTGACCTTGAACACTTTGTTCTCTTTCAGTCTTTGCTTACCAATAACACGAACAGGTTATTCTGGAACGCTTTTATGATCCAATAATGAGATTTTCTTGCGATTTTCTAGGTTAGGGACCCGATTTTAGGGAGGTCCCTCTCCTAACAACACTAAGCCTGCTGTGGTAGCGAGTAACGCACCAGTCGGAAAACAGTTGAACATCACTCGCTTTGATGTGATCTTATTTTCCTTCGTTTATCAATTGAATGTATATGACCGACGAAAATGCGCGAAATCACAGTACCATCCACATTCTACGTCTCTTGAGGTCGCTGTGAACTTATTGTTTTGGTCAAGTGCTCACTGGAATCTGTTCCTCTAATTCGCCGCAACAAGTTATATGCGTACGCCTATCATGTTTATCATCTTTTAATTGTCTAATTGGTGTGTTCTCAACTAGGTGAGGCACGGCCCAGATAAGCTGGTCCGATCAAAGGAAATGCAGAATGGTTTTACAAAATTGCTGTTCAAAACACTCTGGGTTCCGATTCCATTGGTTTCGTTTCAAAATTCCTCGAAATCTACGATAATTACAAAACTTTTAGATATGTTTAGGGGGATGGTTGGGAAAACAAAGCCAAATAACAAAGTTTTAGGTGAGTAACAATATGCACATGGATAATGTAATTCAAGAATTCATAGCGTTGCTATGCAACAATAATGTATCCATAGTGTAAGTGTGTAACCAGATACGATAACACAACAGACGGTAAAACTGTGAACTGCATCCAACATGAAACAAATCAATTAGAACTAACGACGTACCTCACTCAAGAGGTAAGGTGTGCTAACACATGACAGTGGAATTGCGTACCTAAATTTGGTGAGTCAGTTGCGGCCATCAACAATTCACTCTTTCAGTGGGTCCATGTTTTGCATACACTCATGCCTTTCACCTATCTGTCTACTAGAAAGGAAGCATTATATGAAGGCTAAGGAAAAGCTTGCTTATCCAACCCACCAATGTGCACATGTTTTTCGATTGCCATCAGTGGGTCTTCAAGCTAAGTAAGAGTACAATGAGAAGCTGTTTAGATGAAGAAGAAATCAAAGATAAATCCCATCTATCCAACTCATCGATGTGCCCATGTCTTCATAGGTCACCAACGGGCCATCAATCTGGGTAACACGAAGACTAAAACAATATGGGCTAAGCGAAACTCAGGAATTGATTTCATTTATCCAACCTATCTATGTAGCAATACTTTCATAGGCCACCATTGGGTCATCCATTTGACTAATACGGATGGATGTGGCAAAGTAGCAAGAAAAATTCATGCTTAGGAAACATTGTATTTCTGGGAACACCGCGTAAGCAACGAGCGTGTTTGACGCCTTGTTTACGGTACAGGAAAAGGAAATGAACCGCTCAGCACCTTTATCTCATGCACCGGCCTCCGGTGGCTCGGCCACGCGGTACGCATGCCAGCCCACTGACTCCCGCGACGTGTGTCGTTTGCGCACCGGGGGGTGTGCATGGAAGAAGAAGAGGGGAGGCCAAGCGATGACTCGGTCGAGAGAAGTAAAGGCCCTCGCTTCGGAGCTGGTCTCGGTTGGGGTGTCTCGGCTCCCTGGTTGGGGTCTGAAAGATGAACACATTTGGCTGGTTACACTTGCTGATATAGCTAGGATCCGACTCCCGTGGCGTTCGTGCTGACTTTCTTTGTCTCTCCCCATCGCTCTTAGTCTCCTCCTCCAACCACGATCTCACTATTTAGCGTTACATAATTTTGCGTAGTAAATTCGTTTTGCTGCATAGTAGCCGGCTGGTGGCTTACCGGAATCATGCCCATTCCTTACCGGTAACTCAGCTTTGTTGCACCTGTTGCATTTCCCCTTTTTTCTTTTATGTATTGCGTCACAGTAGCTGAGGTGTTTCCCACCTTTAGCTAACGTGTATAATGAAGGTATGAAATGAATGAATGAACACTGTATTTCACCTTTTGTCGGCAAGCCCTTCTCGTCAAATCTATCTTTACTTTTATATTGCGAACTCCGCAGGTACTTCATTGTTATCAGACCTGTTCTCGTACACCCATTCGTCTGTGCAACTGACACGCAATAGCGAAGTCGAACGCTATTTTAAGGTCGGGTACGACCACTATAGTCAGTCGTCTGCAGCTGTCTCTGGTCTAACACTTGATGAAGCATAAAGAGGTGGTCGATACAACCACGGTCAAGACGGAAGCCAGCCTGGCTTCCAGGGATTCGGTTCTCACGGGGACCAATATGTTGTCGAAAAATGATACCCATGGGAAGTTTGAAGGCACTGGAACGAAGTCTAATGATGACTTTCTCATGACGTCTATTGCTCACTTTTAACCATGCGCTTGACGGTTACTAGTCACTAGTCGGAAGGCGCATCCTCAATCTCCCCAATCAGGTTGAATAAAGCAACACTTCCATACAACTGAGAGTTTCCTCCACCATTCGACAAAGGTAAAAATCATCGCCTCCCGAATCACTGTTTCGTTTCAAATCGGATTTCTTCCAATGTGAGAATCCTGACATCAACCTCTTGCTCTACAAACTATTTATTTTCAGCCACTTCTTACTCACTAATTCTTGCAGTGTTCGAATCTTGTTTAAAGACTTCGTGCACCAGCTGAGATTCGGCAGCAAATCAGGTAGCTCACTGGAACATCATTTGCATATGTACAGTCTACTTTGGTTTTTCTACCACTTGCCTGTTTTTGTTCCTATTGATAGGACGGATAGCCGATTTATTATACTCTTATTCAACGTTTGACCAATATACAATTGGCAGTGTTACAACACATAGTTAACATCAACAACAGCACAAAGGGGAAAGCAGGTATTGGAAAGCTTTGGAAGGTTTACAAGGGTAATGTGTTCTGCGGGCGGAGATCTTCCCGGTTGCCCAGGCCGTGGAAGAAGGTTGACTTAAGGGACCCCACTCTGAGCCTTTTGTCATGAAGACCTGACCCGTAAGGTAACAGGACGATTAACGAAGGCCGTGGACATCCGGGTAGCTCATTCGCTTTCTTTCTGTTTAGTAGCAGTCCACAGAGAAGCCGGTGATCAACAAGGTTGTTCATCTATACTCCATTAGGTACTCACTTCTGGTTACCGAAGTGCGTGGTCACTGACCCTATAGGCGGTCCCATTGGCTTTGACACAGCGTCGTACGAGCAATTATGGTATTTGATGGACAATCAGGTGACCAGCCCAGAACTTCCCACGCTCTGAGACGCTGCCGCTGATTGTCCGCGATTGCTTATTCATCTCGCCTGCAAGGCAAACGAAACTTATTCGCAGTTACCTCCACAAGGAAGGCATTCCCCAATCCGCAACCTGGGGATGCGCCCGAAAGTGTACAGCTCCGCCACGGGACGGATAGCTGATACAGCTATTCGGATCACGAGCTAGCCATTTCTCAAACCAGAAACCAGTAGCTTCCTCTAAACCTTCAATCGAGCCCCGAAATGTACGGGATTTTTACAGTACAAATAGCCGTGATTATTTAGCTTGATAGAACTGCCATAGAGGAAATTTCTATGCTACCAGGAGCTACCAGATGCCGATAAATGCACTCATTGACTGGCTCCAACGCAAAGCTGCCATCATTGGCTAACTTCAATCGACAAGCGCTCTCATTGGCTGGCTCCTGGCCAATGCGCTTTGGACTGGATTGGTCGGAACCTCTGCTGGTTTGTCAGCAGGAAACTGGGCTTGAACGGCCTCCAAAATCGGACTGCTTTAACACTACCTCAGGTCGCCTTGTTTTTAACACTGTATCTGGCTGCGGCAACCTTATGGCGATCTGCATACTGCATACTTGATGTCATCGCCAGACTTTTGCTTGTCTAAAATGTCCCCAATCCTTGGCTACCTGTTGCGTTATTTCTTTTCCAGTGCTGTTCATCAGAAAACCCATATCACCGTTCGTTGCGGCCCTGTGTCCCTTGGGGGAGTCGTTTCGACTCTGCTTGTGTTTAGGTCATGCATGGATCTTTTCCAGTCCATCTTTATCCCGTACCACGGGGACGTCTCTGCTGGCGTTTGTATAACACTGAAGCCTAAGCACTCGTTGTTACCACTGACGATAACGACAAATTTTCACCACACTCATAACAATTCATTGTAAGTTGCACAGGTTCACCGATTGATGTTCTCAACATCCGTGATGTGGCATTCTCAGGATTTGTTTTGTTCCAGCATGGCCAGTATGTTACTGATCTAAAACAGTGGAAGAACGTTTTTCTGACGCATATTGCTGATCTCAAGGAATCTCCTGGTGTTGACTTAAAGGGGACACTCTTTCTTACCGAACACGTAGGAGTCTTTACAAGTCTGATGGTCTCGTCCTTGTAGGAAACCAGGATACTCATTCATTGGGTTCCAGACCCTGATCAAGGTGAGTTCCCTTTAACTTACTACTCTCCATTCTCTGCAGACAATTCGCTCCCGGATAGTCTGAAGAAGGGTTACGAATTGGACGTGTGTGACCTGAAGCACTTGGTATGCCGCGTCTTACCCGGATTCCATTGTCGTGCACTATACTTGACTCTAAAAAACAACACCACATACGGTCCCTTTACATTCCGCACCGGTGGAGCTAGCAATTTCATTGACACGTTGGGAGAGACTCTGATCCTTACTAGGTGGGTATTAGTCCTCACAACTGTGACCGCTGTTGCCCACTTACACATGTTTTCATCTTATGTATTCCCGCATTCTGTGTCATTATTCTCCATTCCTTGGCTTTGAAAGTGTGCTACATCGCATTTTAACACACACGAAAACATTTGCAAACCTCTTTCTAAGCGCCGTAATTTATCCTATATTTCTGTACTTTACGCCGCCTACTATCCATCGAATGTTTCTATTTGGTGATGCCTTCCCCTACTTCCCAAAATCCATCGTGAGCACCACGTTACAACAATTTTTCGCCGCAACACTCATCCTTGGTAAACTTGTGTGCAGACGCACGGACAGCGCGGCCCTTCCGATCCGATCGATCATGTGTGAGCACCTGTCCTTTGGGTTATTGATGGCAGGGCGATGTTTAAACCCTATCTTACCCAGCTCCTGTATACTCTGTCCGCCGCTTCGTAACAGCTTAGGCCGCTTCCCATCTGACGTATTCGGACTTTCTGTTCACACCATAAGATGCTGACTGTTTTCCTACAAAGCTTCCATCTTTTTCTGAAGACGGAGATAGATAAAATGCAGGTGTATTAATGTTGGGACTCTTGCCTAGTATTGCATAACATGCTGTCTGCTATTCTAAAGCTGGCGTGCTGAAGTCGAGAATCACTGGCGTTTGACTGCATACATGACAGAGGGTAACCTCTACTCCCATTGTTTCCTGGTGTCTGTTTGACATGTCTGTCAATGGGACACAGAGCATTTTATCCTGCTTGCTTGGTGGATTGTGCTTTCTAATTGACCACACCGTTTTATAGCGTGTCGGCCTGTGGCCGAGTGACCTGCGTGCTTGGCTTTCAATCGTGAGGTTACTGCTTCGAATCCGCGTACGGGTGGGCGTCATCGCGGTATACTCAGCCAAAACAACCGGCTCGTAGCCTAAAGGTAACGAGTTTGTCTTGTAGTCTGACGGCACGTAATCGATCCTGCGTAGAGACAGAGCGATGCTCCGATGCGACCGGTGTTGGTTGCGTGGCAGCAAAGCGTCGGTACTGCGGGCCAGCGTACTACTGATGCGTTTCTTTAATTTTCTTTCAACTCGGCACACTTGCTGAACCGTTGTTGTCTCGTCATTCGGTCCGTTTGTCTCAGCTACCGATTTCTTTTGTTTATCACAGCATTTTTGTGAATTTCCTCCAACCAACATTAAAGTAGTTTTATTTCCCCTTGTCTTTTTACCGGCCGATTTTCTAGTTGTTGTTTCTACACATGTCATATCGAATAGACCCACTGCGTTTGCTGCTCGTTTTGCAGTTTATTAAACTAGGTAGCACAGTTTTATCTTTTACCTTTCAAACCTGGTCTTTTCGGCCTATGCTAACCTCCGATTACTCCCGAATCTCACTCGTCTAATTCTGTCAGCTAGGCAGTTATTTTGTAGGTTACTCTATCCCGTTTCCACGTTTTAATTCGTGGACTCTAATTATTGACCAAGGAAGCTCACTGCAGGTTATGTACTTAGCTATCTTGGGTGAATGAATTCCATAGCTTAAGCGCTACTAATTCGTATCATTTGATTGATACCGACGGAAAGATGTTCGGCTCAAACATTGCACCTAGAATCATTGAGACTCGAGAAGGCTGTCCGTAGTTTTCATCACATGGGCAAAGTGGCGCCTATTTTCTACGGACATTTGATCTGTTTATGCCACTTTCCACTTGCGACGAGTGTTTGACGCAAGAGAGATTTCCGTACTTGTCTCCTTTTTTCATTTTCTTTTGAACATTTTCCCCATAGCGATTTGATTTCATCTTGTTCCAGATCGGAGGAAGACAAGACGCTGTACTTCGTCCGACCTCGTCCTCCACAACCATTCTCTCTTTATCGCCTTCCAACCGCGTGAGTTTTTCAACTTTTCTATTTTGTTTTTGTGTTCACCTTCCGGCTTTTGGATGCATTGAAACTAAACTCGGTTGTTCGAACTTCTGATTTACTACCGGGTACTTTATGTAATTCTGAGGTCCAGACTGGCTTATAGGTGCTCACCTCGCCTTATTGGGACGTGTGAACCTGCACATACATCACGTGACATTCGGTGACCGGGGCTTTTGTTTGGGAACGTAACCGAATCTGTTCTATCACCCTTCCGAACCCAATTCGGACACATTCAGCTCTTCAGAAACAGGTGGGCACTAGCATTCTATGAAGAAGATTTCCTGGATGCATTTTCCACTCCTTTCCTAGAATGCGCTTAGGTGCCTAGCACTGATTGTCACCCGGGTCGTTGTCATTATGCTTAGTTAGTCACTAGCCTTGTTCTCTCGTTGGCTGTATCAATCATACTTCTACTGCATCTCATGTTACAATGGCGTCACGCGTGCCGCAAACTGACTGCAGCTGCGTTTTTGGATTTTGAGTGCGCATTCATTTCAGTTGTTTGTCCTCTTTTTTCGGCGCACTTGCTCACAAGGCTTTTTTTTGCACTGATGGTATCCGAGTCTGCGCACTACCGTTGCCTTTTCGTACTGTAGCCACTTTCGAAATAGCATCCGCGGGCTTCATGCAGTACGGCGTATGAGCGGAAGCGGGTTTGTAAAGATGCTGCCATGTCTCCTGACCCCAGTTGTTCGCACTCAAGCACATGGGTTATTCCTCGCTGTGGTGTGTGCTGCATCTCCTAACCCTAGGGTTTACTACTCTCACGCAATTATCGGATTGATTGTGCTCAGTGCCTCAGCGTTTCATTGCTTAGACGTACCCGAACGCGCTGATGCTGTGCTCGCGGGCCAAGTTGAAGCAACTTTGATCCCCGCTGGATTCTCTTGGACAACCATCAGTGTGCAGTTTGTTTTACAACGTCGACTAATGCCCCAGCTCGCACAACAGTACCTGAAGATACATGTTTGTGGCTTCTGCCTTCTACAACGAACTTAACACTCAACCCCTCACAGATACCAGCTGACAGTAACTTTTGGTTTGCGGTGTATATAATTGCGGGACTATCAACATCGTCACCATTCTCCTCCTCCTCCTCCTCCTCCTCCTCCTCCTCATCATCATCATCATCATCATCATCACCATCATCATCATACATCTCATCTAGTGTGCCGCAATACAAAAAGATAAGGTAGAAAGATAAGGTAGGAAGCAAAAGCGGGAATAAAACAGTACAAAACATCATATAAAAACCAAAAACGTAATATGATGCTTGTTATCATATTACGCATCATGTGTGAGAACAAGATTGGAACGGAAAGATAAGTAGGAGGGGGGGACAAAGAAGCTCACAAGACAAGTACCATTGAGGCCGGTTCTTTCCCATGTCAACCAGTGTATCCAACCAAACGTGTTCTCATCCTTGGGACCCTAGTCTGACAGTCGGGAGACACCATCTGACGCCAAGTCCGAAGTGAGCGCCTTCACTCCTCTTGACCAGATCATCGGTTGACTTCCTCTCCTCTTCCATCCACATCCCGGTTGCGCATACAACTCACAATGCGAGAGTCGGTGTGCTGGCATGTGCAACACGTGGCCCAGCCATCGGAGCCTGGTGCGTGCTATAACGGTGCTGAGCGGTTCACTCACTCTTCATGCGCCAAATACGCGACGCCGAACGCGCTCATTGCTCACGCGTTTTTCGCATCAGACATGAGCTTAGCTGCGAAGACAACGCGGCCAGGTCATCTAAGCCCCTTATGATCTCAGTTGGGGGAGTGCTCGGGCTAGTTTCAGGCTGCATAGGTGCTTGCGGGCT